AGCAATCAATGGGTATCCCTGAGACATCGCGACCGCAACCTCAAGCCATAAGCTATGCTGCTGCTACCCGACGCTATAATCCCCGTCCACGTCTACAGGCTGGGCCGCTGCATTTTCGTCGCCAGACACCGCCACCGCTACAACACCCACCCGCCGGCCAGCACAATGCTCCAAAAAAACCCACGTGTGGTGCGCCCCAACCACCGGCCTCTCTGCTATGACTCGTTCGCTGGATTGCGTGCCGATATGTTGTGCCCTCCCAATCTCCGACGTCAGCGTAGCTCTGTCCTACTGGACTTGCCCTACGCCATCTCCTGACGCCCACAAGAGCTCTCGCCAGTGGTGTCTCGTCCTCATCATGTCTTCTCTTTACCTCCGTCGTTCGCTGTCCCGGTGCCTCGCTGTCTGCTTCCTGTCTCTCTCTATCTCTTTACCTTTTAATCCTATCCTTGTAATTCTTTTTCTACCCACATCCCTCGTGAGCCACTGTTGAGGTGTCCTCCCCCTGAGAGACAGTTACGGGGCTCACTTTTCTCTTCTTTTCATTTAAAAATACTCCCCCCCCCCTTCTATGCTACTACTGCGTGGAAGCTGGCCACATCTGCCGCCGCTGCCAGTACCACCAGATGGGACTACGTGGTTGCGCAATCGACACGCCGCGTCTACAGTGGGCTAAACAACCACATGACATCGCCGACTATCTCGCCGAAACGCAGAGCACACCCTAGATTAGATTTGTGGGGTTTAACGTCCCAAAACCACCATATGGTTATGAGAGATGCCGTAGTGGAGGGCTCCGGAAGTTTTGACCACCTGGGGTTCTTTAACGTGCACCCAAATTTGAGTACACGGGCCTACAACATTTTCGCCTCCATCGGAAATGCAGCCGCCGTAGCCGGGATTTGAACCCGCGACCTGCGGGTCAGCAGCCGAGTACCTTAGCCACTAGACCACCGCGGCGGGGCGCAGAGCACACCCTGAAGATCTCGTTTGCTTTTACACGGCCACTACATGTCACCGCACCGTCATCAGTACACTGGCCCAAGCCGGGGCCGGTCGCCTCGCCCGTATCAGAACTAATGGCAGCAACCAATGGAGGTGCGGTTGCTGCACGAAGAACTGCTGAAGATCCTCCGCCGCCAACGACGACGCTACGACAAAACCTCAAGAACCCGCCATCACCTTAACCTAACCCCAACGTTGGAACTTCGCGACCAGACGAAGTCCTGATTACGCAACGTCGAAAGAGTGGGGCAAACCACTGTAGCCGTGATCAGACGCCACGACCCAACCGCAACGCCAGGCGACGAACCAGCGACCTCGACATTCTCATCGACGGCCACAGTATCGCAGCTCTCGTCGACACCAGAGCCGACTATTCCGTCATCAGCGCGACTTTCGCCGCGAATTCGCAAAAAGTTATGACCACTTGAGAAGGCCCGAAAATTCGTACAGCCGGAGGTCACCTAGTGACACTAGCGGGAATCCGCACATCTAAAGCACGGCTCCGCTAGGCTTCACCTGCGCGGTCCCTTCTTATGGGCTTCACAACGGGTGTAGTACATGCCTCCAGCCACTCCTTTGAGGGGGGCGCTGCAATCCTGCCATTGATCAGGCACTACCATCATTAATGTACGCAGATGATATAGTGCTAATGGCCAACAACAAGAAAGATTTGCAGAGATTGATGGACATCTGCGGTAATGAGGGAGATAGGTTAGATTTTAGATTCAGTAAGGAAAAATCAGCAGTCATGATTTTCAATGACAACGAAGGTAGTGAGCTTAGAATACAGGAGGTCACACTAGAGATAACAGATAAATACAAATATCTGGGCGTATGGATAAGCAATGGGACCGAGTATCTGAGGGAACACGAAAGATACGTGACGACTAAAGGTAACAGGAATGCAGTAGTCATGAAAAATAGGGCACTGTGGAATTACAATAGGTATGTTGTGAGAGGAATATGAAAAGGGGTCATGGTTCCTTGGCTCACGTTCGGCAAAGCGGTTTTTGCATGAGATCAGAAGTTCAAGCAAGATTAAAAATTAAGCAATGTGGAATAGGTAGGCTTGCTTTGGGAGCTCACGGGAATACACCAAATAAGGGAGTACAAGGTGATACGGGATGGACATCATTTGAGGGCAGGGAAGCTAGCAGCAAGATAAAGTTTGAGAAACGATTAAGAGAAGTGGGGGAAGAGCGTTGGGCTAGGAAGGTTTTCAGCTACTTGTACATGAAGAATGTCGATACAAAACGGAGGAAGCGAACCAGGAAGTTGACTGGTAAATACTTGGAAAACAGCAGGTGTCCAAACCAAAAAGAACTATCGGTTAAGAAGAAAGTGAAGGAAACGGAGACTGACATGTGGAAAATGGGCATGATTAAGAAGTCCGCACTAGAAATCTATCGAACTTTTAAGCAGGAGATTGCCAAGGAAAGGATCTATGATAATACTCGAGTAGTTCTCTACTGTTTGAGGCCAGGACGGTAGTACTGCGAACCAAGACATATCGGGCCAAATACGAAAGGGTAGACACAGTATGCAGTGCGTGTGGAGAGGAAGAAACTGCTGAACACTTGATAATGTTCTGAAAAGGGCTTCACCCTATATTTCAGGATGATGGCGCAGAGTTTTTCAAAGCACTGAGGTTTAGGGACCAGGAGGAGAAAATAAACTTTAAGCGGGTAGACTTAACTAGAAGGAGGTTATCTGATTGGTGGCTAAAGTCAAGGCACGAGTGAAAATTAAACTCTTCACTGCAATGTACGAATCCTCAAACTCACTTTTTAAGGAAAAAAAATAAATATAACTTTTGGTTCATTAGGTATTACGGCTTGGTGGCGCTAGCCACCGCCCGATCTAAAGGGTACAGCCATATCCATCCATCCATCCATCCATTCCACCGCTCCGTCCAGAGCGAGAACACATGAGTTGGGGCGCACTTCTCCACTCACCGCGCGCTGAAAAAGAAGTTGCTTAATAATTGAAGATGCACAAATAGTTTATGGCATTGCTCATACCTGATGATGCTGGGCTCTAACCTATGCACCTCTCAAGAGTGCACTTTGCTGGCGGAGTCACAATCCCCTGCCTGCCGTGGTGTTCTAGTGGCTAAAGTACCCGACTGCTGACCCGCAGGTCGCGGGCTCAAATCCCGGCTGTGGCGGCTGCATTTCTGATGGAGGCGGAAATGTTGTAGGCCCATGTGCTCAAATTTGGGTGCACGTTAAAGAACCCCAGGTGGTCAAAACTTCCGAAGCCCTCCACTACGGCGTCTGTAATATTCACAAGGTAATTTTGGGACTTCAAACTCCACATATCAATCAATCAATCAATCAATCAATAAGTCACAATCCCCGAAGTGCGCGCACAATCGTAGCCTCTTCGTGATAGAAGTCGGCATACCACACACCCCTTACGAAATTGTCTGGGTACGCTAAATGCTTTCTTCCGTCCCATTCTATTTGATGCAAAAGAAACACGGCCTTTTTTCTGTCCTTTCTGTGCATCTGCTGCGATTTGCTTAACGCATGCTTTGCGCTTGCTTCCGCGATAATATTGCGACGCATTTTTCGTTCATTCAGAAATCACTGCACTTTTTCGCATTTTGAACGATGTTGCGACACTTGGCAGCGTAATCGTCCTATCATAGTCTGCTCTCGACCCGACCAATGAGCGTCGCTGTTTATTGTGTGTGTGCATACACTTGCTGCTTCTTGTTCAGAGGAAGCGTCTTGTGAAGTTGCAACATCCCGATCTGTTTCGTTAGTCTCCGCTTTTCGCTTCCTTGATGTTTGACGTAGGGGCCAACTCTTGAAGCAGAATTTTTGCGAGGCTTCTATAGACGGTTTCGCCAGAGCCTGTCAGTCTCTGGCCACAGTGTGCCTTCACCAGAAATTCACCACTGAAAACGTCCGGTTTAGCTTGTTTTTGAATGGTTTTAGCGTTTGTTGCTGGCCGCGGCTGCTTGTGTTCTGATGCTTTATGCGGATAAAATTGTTTTGATGAAGCGCTGGCAACTCGAGCACAGCTGTGTCGAGCCAGGATGCAGTGTACATGCCTGAATTATTTTATATGCTAGTCAAAACAATCTGTTTTCTGACCAATGACGATAACAGAGTGCCTGCATTGCAGCAATCACGCGAGAAAACTGGATTCCCACCAAGAGCCAATAGGTTTGTTCTGTCCATTTGATAAAAGGAAATGTAAAGCTCATCGCAGACTAATGGCAGAGAGGCGATACTCAGACGTTAGACAAGTCGAAGGCTCCCGTTCCCGGGAACACATCAGTCACTGTCGTCTTCCACCCGTGGCAGGTAAGTGTACTGACGCTAGAAATGGGTAGCAAAACATGGAACATAACACTGAAAATTCATCGCAAAGGTGTTTATTTTATGGTTTGAGCTATATTAATGATGCATACTGCTCGAAACAACAGGGTACACAAAGTAGCCACGCTTAACATTAATCGCCGCACAGTGTACGTCATGATGTCCAGTTTCGTTGTCGTTGCATTTGATTTTTACGAAAGCGACGTTGGCGAGTGGGCTCTCATCTGTGCGTGCAAATGACTCATCGTATGTCTTTCTGCCGCTAATGAACATCGCCGCATTCAAGCTCATTTATCTTTTGGGTGTGAACATGAACTGCCTGCTTAGGTATACGTTCAACTTGAAAGTTTGGTTCTTGAATAGCTTACTCGTGAGTAAAACATAACAGATCGTGTGACCCTGCAGCCGCAGTTTACGTTATCACATCAGTAAATTTTATAATTTCTCAGTCACACCGACACTTCGGATAGCGAGCGTTTTCAATTGCCGCTGATTTCTTTAAAAAGTGCCCGGTGGGACACAGGAGCAGAAATAAGCGTTTTATCTTGAGGTTGTGTGTTCAGACGAAAATACAAATATGTTCGGGGCTCAACAGGAGGAAGGTTTGCAATTCTAGTCGAAAAGCCTAATTTAACAACTACACTTCTCTCCTGCACATCAACCATGTGGGTGCACATTGAAGACCTAGACAGGAAAAAGACAGGTGTGCGCTGTCAATTCCCGGTCCACGTCTTCAAAGCGCATACAAATCATCGACATGCAGAACCAAATGGCCCAATTAGGTTTGCTGACAAACTTGTCCTGCAATTTATGCTTTTTCTGCATAAATTGCAGGACAAGTTATGAGTAACTTTGCCCGTGCTGACAACCAGGCAATCATAGATGAGCTTTGGGCGTTTGCCGACAACGTATCAACTGAAAATCCCCTCTCACTATTGCTTGAATTTAAGAGGTTGGTCCTCGAGTGTATTCGTACCTATTTCCCTCGTAAAAAAATCAAAACAAACCGAGCTAGTCCCTGGGTAAACAGGAATATCGTTCATTTAAAGTGGAAACTGAAACGGGCCAAGAAAACAAAACCACTTAAGCTGAACTCATTCAGAATCCTAAAACACAGCTTTCCGCGAGTTTATCTACAGCCAGAAAGAAATATTTTTTTACCACGTTGCCAAATTTTATTAAAACACAACCACAAAAGTTCTGGCGCTATCTGGGCAGCAGTAAAAAACGCTTGGAACAAATTGAACAGACCAGCGTCCTTATAACTCAACCGAAGACCACTGCTAATACAATGAACGAGTATTTCCATTCGGTCTTCTCTCCCCATACTGAAACAAACAGACTGTTCACGAATGTGACTGATATTGATGCTGAATTTATATCTAGCGAAGGCGTTCTTGCACTTCTGCTGGATATAAACGAAAAGTCGTCAGAAGGGCCGGACCTAATTCCAAATGTTTTTTGCACCGTTATGCCAAGCCGATATCGCACATTTTGACCGCCATCTTTTGTTTAGGCTTGCGCCACTCAGTCTTGCCTGATGATTGGCGCCTAGCTCGCGTTGTGGCTGTCTTTAAAAAAGGAAATTGCTTGAAAATGAAAAATTATCGACCCATCTCACTAACATCAACCTGCTGCAAAATTTTGGAACACATAATCGCCTCTTTTATTAACAAATTTTTCAAAACAAACAGCGTCCTTTCCGTGTTCCAACATGGGTTCCGCAAAGGCTTTTCTACCACTACTCAACTTGTTACAACCACTCATGAAATCGCACAAGCTTTAGATTCATCCAGCCAAATAAATTTAGTGTTTCTTGACTTTAGTAAAGCCTTTGATCGCGTACCCCCTGATAAACTACTCACTAAGCTTTCTTCTTTGTGCCTTCCTTCGTTTATAATTAACTGGATCAAGTCATATTTAACAAACAGAACACAGTTTGTGGAAGTCGACGGATGCGCATCTGAAAGACTTGGTGTAACATCTGGCGTTCTACAGGGCAGTGTTTTGGCACCGGTTCTTTTTTTTAATTTATATCCATAACATGACATCTGCTATTGACCCAAGAGTTTCAATAAAATTGTTTGCAGACGGCTGTCTTATTTTCAAGGAAATCACGGGCACTGATGACCAAGCCTTCTTAAACAGCAGTTTGACGGGAATAGGTCAGTAGTGCACTACCTGGGGTATGAGCTTGAACGCTGACAAAACAGTTCTACTTCGTGTAACGAAGAAAAAACACCCCTTTCAGTTTTCTTATTCATTAAATCGTGCACCAGCGGCAGAAAAAAAGCCAGCACAAATACTTCAGGATAACGTTCACCAATACTCTGTCGTGGTCAAAGCACATAGAAAACATCTGCGCATCTGCCACACGCAAGTTAGGCTTTTTACGGCATAAACTCAAAGCGTCACCAACTCATGTCAAATAACTGACCTTGAAAGTGATGATACTTCCTAAACTGCAATACGCTTCGGTCGTATGGGACCCCTTTCTTGAAAAAGATAAGTACCGGCTTGAAATGGTGCAAAGACGCGCTATACGCTTCATTTTCAACAAATATAGGACCACCGACTCACCAACTTCTCTAATGCTGGTGAATAGCATTTCAACCCTGGAAGATAGACGAAAATTCGATAGGCTGAAACTGCTGTTTGCTCTTTATATTGGTTCCACAAAGATAAATGCATTGGTATACATTCATCCATTTCAATCGCGCCCCACGAGACATCGGAACACGTACAATTTGCTTCCGTATAGATCCCACAAAACATGTTTAAAAATTCGTTTTTCCCACGTACAGTATCGGAATGGAGTTCACTGCATGAAGTGGTTTCACATCTCAGTCTATTTGCCACTTTGAGCGTGCCATATTGTTTGTACTGTAGTCTGTACTCGACTAGCTTTACAGTTTATCGCAATTGTGAATGTGTAATAGGGAGATAGACCCATCTCTGTTCTTCTGAAGGTCGTATTAACCAGTGTTTAAGCTCATCTATATATCACTGTATAATGTACTCATCTTCTGTATATTGTGCACATCATTCATCTATCACGCTTACGTATGTTTTCCACTTATTTTCGTGCCTCTCCTGCTTGATCTTTTTAAGACTGTAGTATGTTGTAAATAAATAAATAAAAGTATAAATGCCGACATGCTTCGCCGCTTGTCAGTTGATCAACGGCCAACGCTGTCTTCGCTGGTACCAGTGCAAGTGTGTTACTTAAACCCGACTTCCGTTTACCAGAAACAGGTTCACCGAAATAAACAGTTTGATTTCACCATCCTGTCTCCTTCCTTCTGCCACGTCACGAACCCGTGGCAGTATTAATAGATGTAAAGTCACGCACGTTTATGGAAAATCTTCCTGCCCACAACCTTGCTACATAGACAACATTAATTTAGAATCCCTGACTTCATATGAATACATCGGCGTGTACCTACAGCAAACCTCAACTGGTCTACTCATATTGCGCACTTACTTAAAAAGCTAATCTTAAAAAACCTAAAAAATGTTAGGTTACTTTCGTCCAACTTTTATCCTGTTCCTCCTTCTTGAAACTGCTCCTCAATAAAACACTAATTCGATCGAAACTGGAGTATGCTACACCAGTCTAGAATCCCACCCAAGCTAACCACATTTCTGCTCTAGAAATGGCTCAGAATAACTCCACACGTTTCATTCACTCTAATTACAGCCACCCTGCCAGTATAACTTCTTCGAAATCAGACCTTTCCCTACCATCATTGTCATCGCGCAGAAAAGTGTCACGCATTGTTTTATAAAATGTATCATCACCCTGCACTACGTGATCGCCTTCATCCCTGAGCTATCTTATGTATCCCATCGCTCAGACCATCGTCATAAAGTCGCGCCCACTTCCTGTAATACTGCGCACATTTATCATTATTTTTCTCCCACGAACTTCTCGTGATTGGAATGGCCTTCGCTCGGTTGTTGTGAACGTTTTTCTTCAGTACTGTTCCGTAATTTCGTAGCTAATATTGTATTTTCAATACAAAATTCTGAAATCACTATAACTTCAATTTCGCTCCTTTGTTATATATTCATATTGTTTTACTATTTATTTTAAAGTATTTCTTGTTTCTTTTTGCTTTTTTTCTTGCATTTTTGTGTCGAAGTGCTGCTACCACACCCCCTTTATAATGTCTCTGGCCCTGAGGAGTATAATAAAATGAAAATGAAAGTGCGCAAGGTTAAGGTGACATAGTCAGAGACCGCGTGCACACATATATATATATATATATATATATATATATATATATATATATATATATATATATAAATATATGTGCGTGTGTGTGGGCACGTGGTTGTGTGTGTTGCAACACAGGGCAGTCTTGCATCATCCGCTTGATACGTTCGCTATTCCTGGCAGACCTTTATATATATATATATATATATATATATATATATGGGCAGGCATTGTCGTTGAGTGACCGTAGCATTGCATATACTTCAGTAGATCCTCCGTGAGCGGTCACAACGTGGTTTATTTCGACGTTTCGCCCTAGAGTCTGGCCTTCATCAGGATTAAAGATACAGTTCGTTGGTGCTCAGCTTGATACAATCTCAAAACAGAGGGCAAGAAAAGAGGAAAACAGACAGAAAAGAAAAAACGAAAAAAAGGAGAAAAGAAAAAGAAAAGAAAAAGAAGAAAAAAAAAGAAGAAGAAGAGATAAATAATGTACGGAGGACTCCCCTCGGGCGCCCCCCTACCACTCTTGCTTTCACTTCCCCCTCCACTGTTACCTCCAATTCCCCTTTCATCTCTCTCCCCCTTCTCCTCTTCACCTTTCTGATGTCAGCGGTCTGTCTATGCTTCCTTTCCCTAACGCATTCCTCCCGATCAGACGGCGCCTCCTGGCACTGGCGGTTCGGTGTGGGGCAAAAAAGAGCTTTTTTTAGGAAGTCCTAAGCCTTTAACTACTCTTTTTTAGGAAGTCCTAAGCCTTTAACTACTCGGAGTCCCGTAAACAATTCGTCGTAGAAGGAGGGGTGCCGCGTATTGTGGCAGAGGCTGGTAAGCGGGCATTTTAGGAGCTAAGCCTTTAACTACTCGGAGCCCTGTCAACATTTCCTCGTAAAAAGAGGGGAGCGCCGTATTTCGGTGGAGGCTGACAAGCGGGCGCAATGCGAATTCCTTGCCCGCTTCTGGATTACGCGTGTAGTGGGGGCCTCCCGGTTTGCACAGGGTTGCTCTTGGGCATGTCATGCATGGCACAATTGATTGGGTAGTAAAATAAAACGAAAAACAGACGACAGCTGCACTTGGGAAGAGGTTTTACACTTGGAATTTTTTTGGGTTGTCCAGTGCTCTTCGCAGCTGCAGTGCCGTGAACTCAGTTACTATTTTCATTGTTGCCGTTATTGTTTTCTAATGCTTTAATTGCTGCAAGTGTACCAGGATTTTCATTTATTCCTATCGAGGGTGTTAAATCGGTGGATAAGGTATGACTCTCGTTGTTCAAGTTCTTGATTTGATTAAACTCCCGTCTCTAAGAGCGTTACTGATAGTTTGTCGAATGCATGGTCGGGAAGATTGAGATGTTTTGATAGAGGTAGACTTGGGGCTGATTTCGCATGGGCTCTGTGATTATTGAAGCGAATCCTAAATGGTGTTTCTGTTTGTCCGATGTACTGCATACCACACACGTCGCATTCGAGTAGGTATACCACAATAGAGGAATCGCATGTTAGGTTTCCTCGTATGTTAATCGAAAACTTGGATTGCGTGCTGGTTGTTTTGTCTGTTTCTCGCATCGCCTTACATACAAGACATCGTGGCTTTAAACAAGGGCGGCATGAATTATTGGGGGGTGATGTGTTAATTTGTGAGTAGGCAAGGGTGTCTTTGAGGTTACGTGGTTGTCGGTAAACGACGCCTGGAGCGGATGGGAATGCGCGTTTCAGACGTTCGCTTTGTTT